CCTGGCCAGGACCCCAGTGTCTTCAAATAGTTTCTTTGATACATAGGAAGTATACAGGTAGGCTGGGGACGGACCTTCCAGTGGCAGAGAAATCTACCAAGGCCTAAAAAGCTTTTAGTGATTGAAATACATTATCATTTTCCAGATAAAGAAATGGGTTCAGATGGGGTGCTTACTCACAACCACAGAAGCCCTAAGGATGAACCCAGATGACCCCCTGAGTCCCTCTTAGCTCTGAGCCTGTGAGTTGGTCATGTAAAGGCCATTGTCCAAAGCCAAGATCCATTTGGGTCATTCTCCCTCTGGATAGCAAACGGGAACCAACCCAATTGTCCAATGGGGAATGATTTGTTTACCGTCAACTTAATAGAGTACCTCTTATCCTTTAAAAACCACCCATTTGGCTGGAAGCCGTGGGTCACGCCTGTAATCCTAGCAATTGGAGAAGCCAAGGCAGGTGGATCACCTGAGGTCAGGAGTTTGAGACCAGCCTGGCCAACATGGGAAAACCCCGTCTCTACTAAAAATACAAAAATTAGCCAGGTGCGATGCCAGGCACCTGTAGTCCCAGCTACTTGGGAGGCTGAGGCAGGAGAATCACTTGAACCCAGGAGACAGAGGCTGCAGTGAGCCGAGATTGCACCACTGCACTCCAGCCTAGGTGACAGCAAAATTTCCTCTCAGGAAAAAAAAAAAAAAAAAAAAAAAAAAATATATATATATATATATATATATATATATATATATATCTCCACTGGATGAAGTGGATTACTGCAGCACTTTGGGAGGTCAAGGCAGGCGGATCATGAGGTCAGGAGTTCAAGACCAGCCTCGTCAACATAGTGAAACCCCGTCTCTACTAAAAATACAAAAATTAGCCCGGCTTGGTGGCAGGCACCTGTAATCCCAGCTACTCAGGAGGCTGAGGCAGGAGAATCACTTGAACCCAGGAGATGGAGGTTGCAGTGAGCTGAGATCATGCCACTGCACTCCAGCCTAAGCAACAGAGTGAGACTTCGTCTCAAAAAAAAAAAAAAAAATCCATTTGAATACTACATGACAACCTATAAAAATGCTTCTGATTAATATTAAACAGAAAAAGTAGACTACGAAAGTGTATTTAGACTATACTTACCTAACTAGGTGAACGCATGAGTGTTAGAGACAAGAGCTGCAGTTTAAATTACATGAATGACAACGGGATGTTGGAGGGAGATTTGGGTGTTTTAAAATTATTGTCACATTGTTATTCATGCAGTTTAAAAGTCTGGGTCATCATTGCTTACAGATAAAGTACAGACTGCCTTGCATGGCCTCCAAAGCTCTGCCCACCCAGTCCCAGTCAGCCTTTGCCATTCTGCTGCCCTCACCCCATGCTCCAGCCATAGGGGCATTCACCGAACCACGAGCCTTGGTGCCTGTGTCACTGCCAGAACACTGTGTTCACGGTCTACTACTTGACTAAATTCAGCTCATTCGCCACTTCAAAAGTCACTTCTGACTCCCAACGAAAAAGACACAGAAGAAACTCACTGCATTACTTGATTTCAGGGAGGGACTAGAATCAGATGTGGGATGCAGACACAAACCCTTTTCTAAAATACAATTTTATTGAGCTATAAGTCACATACTGTATCATTCTCCCATTTAAAGTGCCTAATTCAATGGTTTCCATGGTTTTTGGTACATTCACAGAATTGTGCAACCAACACCAGACACAAGTTCTTTTGTGCCTTTAGGATTGTGAACATGTGAATGTATCACTAATTGAAATAAATCAACTGAATACAATTAAACACACATATCCATCACCTCCTCTCTCAAGTCCTCCCAGACTCCCGCCAGTGACAGATGGCTCCTCTTTCTGTGCTCCACTTGTCTGTCATAGTTATTATGTCAGTGTTTTTATTTTTGTTGTTGTTTGTTTGTTTGTTTTGAGAGAGAGTCGTGCTCTGTCGCCCAGGCTGGAATCCAGTGGTGCAGTCTCGGCTCACTGCAACCTCTGCCTCTGGGGTTCTAGTGATTCTCCTGCCTCAGTCTCCCAAGTAGCTGGGACTACAGGTATGCGCCACCATGCCTGGATAATTTTTGTATTTTTAATAGAGATGGAGTTTCACTATGTTGGCCAGGCTTGTCTCAAACTCCTGACCTCATATTATCCACCTGCCTTGGCCTCCCAAAGTGCTAGGATTATAGGTTTGAGCCACCATGCCTGGCTAGTGTTTTTGTTTATAAAAAGAGCTCTCCGAAGCCCAGACTGTGAGCTCTTTGAAGGCAAGTATGGAGAGAGTCATTTTTCTGTACCAATACAAGTCTGGCATTCAGGAAGAGTCCCAGAAACATTCGATGAGTGAATGAAGTTTTCTTTGCATCTGTGTAGATGGGCATGGTACGAGAGGCCAGAGGATGACCCAACCTTCCTCACTTTCATCTTCGTCTCCACTCCAACTCTACCTTTCCCCTTCCTCGTCTTGTTCCTTATCCTGTCCCCTCCCCATCACTGACCTCCCCGCAACCCCTCTCTCACTTCCATCCTACTCTGTCCCCACCCTCACTCTGTTCTCCAAATCCTTTTCCATTTTGACCTCCATCCATCCTTATTTCTTGACTAGACCCAGTTTTCTGAAATGCAAAGACATATTGATAGCCTCTTAGAAGTAGCATTTCTAAGGGGCTAAGTGTGGTGGCTCACACTTGTAATCCCAGCACTTTGGGAGGCTAAGGTAGGTGGATTACCTGAGGACAAGAGTTCGAGACCAGCCTGGCCAACATGGTGAAACCCTGTCTCTATTAAAAATACAAATATTATTAATTCCAAGTTCTCTAAGGGGTTCTAGAAAGAAAAAGAAAAAAGAAAAAGAAAATAAAAAAATATATATACAAAAATTAGCTGGGATCCCTCTCTCTTCTTGATCTTACTCCCAGGAAAAGACACTGACAGAGCAGAGGTGTGGATGTCACGTACTGCATAAGTTTCTCTGGCCTTGACACACCTCAGAAAGTTTGATGTTTGAACCCTACCTTACTCCCACCCCCAAATATCCCTTCCTGCAAATTGTCCCAGTTCTTTTTTTTTTTTTTTTTTGGAGACAAAGTTTTGCTCTTGTTGCCCACGATGGAGTACAGTGGTATGATCTTGGCTCACCATAACTTCTGCCTCCTGGGTTCAAGCAATTCTCCTGCCTCAGCCTCCCGAGTAGCTGGGATTACAGGTGCCTGACACCATGCCCAGCTAATTTCTGTATTTTTAGTAGAGACAGGGTTTCTCCACGTTGATCAGGCTGGTCTTGAACTCCTGACCTCAGGTGATCAGCCCGCCTCAGCCTCCCCAAGTGCTGGGATTACAGACATGAGCCACCACTGTGCCCGGTGTCCTGGTTCTCATTTATGCTCATCCAAAGTCCACAGCCCACAAGGGCCAGCCCTTGAGGCTGCTGCCTTCACCTGGCCTCCGGTCCCTGCTGGGAAGCACCTGGCTCATTTGCATGCCCTCTCCTGATTGGCCAGCTCCCCACCCGGCTGCCGGAGCTCTTGAGGCTTTTTAGTGCCTACCCTTGGTGACATTCTGGCCACCTACACTGGCTGCTGCAGATTAACAGAGGCTACTGTCACCAGGGCCCTGGGACCAGATGACCCTCCATCTTTTTCATCCTTCCACCCACAACCCCCCTAGGCTGCTGCTGACACTTGACCATTCTTCCCCCTCACACATGCATACTCTGCATGGCCTGTGTAAATGCAGGAACTCGTAAGAGGATTATTTGTCAGTGTAGGCAGATGACAAGATGACAGGAGAAACATTTTTTATGACAATGAAAGGCAGACAGACAAGACGAAGAAAGCTGTTCAGAGACATGGGTCTCCCACAAGGAGATAACCAAGCGCTGTCCTTCTTCAAACAAGACAGTCCCTGCAGATCCAAGGCTTCCCCAGCCCAGGGACAGTGGAGGCCACCAGAACTGAAGAGTGCAGGAAGGAACCGCAAGACCTGAGGCAGCAGGGACACTCCCACACGACCTCCGCTAGAAACAGCAGGAAACAGGCTGGGCAGTGGCTCAACCCTGTAATCCCAGCACTTTGGGAGGCTGAGGCGGGCGGATCACTTAAGGTCAGGAGTTTGAGACCAGCCTGGCCAAATGGTGAAACCCCATCTTTACAAAAAAATACAAAAAGTAGCCAAGTGTGGTGATGCACTCCTGTAGTCTCAGCTACTCTAGAGGCTTAGGCAGGAGAATCACTTGAACCTGAGAGGTGGAGGTTGTAGTGAGCCGAGATCACACCACTGCACTTCAGCCTAAGACTCCGTCTCAAACCAAAAACAAAACCCAGTAGGGAATGGAAGCTGAAGTAGCAGAAAGACCAGGAAGAGGAGGACTTTGTCAGCGTAAGAGGGAACAGACAGAGAGAAGGACCAGCTGTCTAAGGCCTGAAACTGAGATGCACCTCTACTGGGGAACTTGCCCTGAGGCTTTGGGAGAACAGTCTGGTCTCTAGAGGCTTCCTATTCACCTTTAAGACCCAGGGCAGGCTGGGCATGGTGGCTCACACCTGTAATCCCAGCACTTTGGGAGGTCTAGGTGGGTGGATCACCTGATGTCAGGAGTTTGAGACCAGCCTGGTCAACATGGCGAAATCCCGTCTCTACTAAAAATACAAAAAAAATTAGCAGGGTGTGGTGGTGCACGCCTGTAATCTCAGCACTTCGGGAGGCCAAGGCAGGCGGATCACTTGAGGTCAGCAGTTTGAGACCAGCTTGGCCAACATGATGAAAGCTCGACTCCACTAAAACACAAAAATTAGCCAGGCATGGTGGCAGGCACCTGTAATCCCAGCCACCTCGGAGGCTGAGGCGGCAGAATCAGCTGAATCCAAGAGGCAAAGGTTGCAGTCAGCAGAGATTCCACCATTGCACTCCAGCCTGGGTGACAGAGCGAGACTCCATCTCAAGAGAAAAAAAACAGGTGCAGGGTTTCCTTCTGGGGTGATAAAAATGTTCTCGAATTAGTAGCAATGGAACTGTCTCAAAAAACAAAACAAAACATGAAATTGTATGCTTTAAAGGGATGAATTTTATGGTAAGTAAATTATGTCTCATTAGAAAAAAAAAAAGAAAACTGTTAAGAAAACCAGGAGTGGTCTAGGGAAACACTTAGCCAAGGCTCCAGGCTCCAGGCTGGGCCATGCCTCGCCTCTCTGGACGGGAACTCAGCACGGCTGGCATCCACAAGGCTGAGTGTCCCCTGTGGCAGCCATCGCAGGCTCAGGAGGCTCCTGGCATAGAGGAGGTGCGAGGGAGGGCAGTAGAAGAAAGAGTCCTGGTGCAGGGGAGAGGACATCAGGCTGCCGGCCTAGTGCCCAGCTGCTCCCCATCCCTCACGCCCTGGCCCTGGAGCCCTTGGCCATGTGCCCCATCCCAGGCACGGCCTAGTTGTGAGAGAAGCCCCCGTGGGAGAAGACAGGGAGGTCAGGGGCACAGGCAGCAGCCTGGGGCAGGCAAGCCAGGGGGTTGACCTCACAGGCCCCGGCATCCTGGTCCTCTCGGAAGTAGATGGAGTCGGCAGAGTAGAAGGAGGGGTCTTCGTCAAAGAAGTTGTAGGGTCGGAGGAAGAAGCCCACGCCGTTGCCCACAGTCACTGTGTTAGGAATGTCCTCTGCATGTGGGATGTGCAGAAAACCAGCTGTCACCCAGGCCACCAAGTCCTAGCAGGGGAGAAGGAAGAGGATCACGAGCTCTGGTTTTGCTGAGGATGTGCCCTGCCTCCCACAGTGACCCTGTAGACAGGGAGTCAGCTCACCTACCTACATGTTCTTAGTTCATCAGGAAAAATGTGAAATCATAAAGTTTTTTTTTTTCTTTTTTTCCTTTCTTTTCTTTTCTTTTTTGACAGAGTCTTGCTCTATCACCCAGTCTGGAGTGCAGTGGGATGATCTCAACTCACTACAATTACCACCTCCTGGGTTCAAGCCTCAGCCACCCGAATAGCTGGAATTACAGGTGTGTCCTGCCACATCCTGCTAGTTTTTGTTTGTTTGTTTTGAGATGGAGTTTAGATCACGACATTGTCCAGGCTGGAGTGCAATAGCGTGATCTGGGCTCACCAGAACCTCCACCTACTGGGTTCAAGCAATTCTCCAGCCTCAGCCTCCTGAGGGATTACAGGTATGTGCCACCATGCCCAGATAATTTTTGTATTTTTAGTAGAGATGGGGTTTCTCCATGTTGGTCAGGCTGGTCTCGAACTCCCAACCTCAGGTGATCCGCCCACCTCAGCCTCCCAAGGTGTTGGGATTATAGGTGTGAGCCAACATGCCCTGCCTCTTTTTTGTATTTTTAGTAGAGACAGGGTTTCACCATGTTAGTCAGGCTGGTCTTGAATTCCTGACCTCAAGAGATCCACCTGCCTCAGCCTCCTGAAGTGCTAGGGGTCCACCTCCTTCAGCCTCCTAAAGTGCTGGGATTACAGGCATGAGCCACTGCACCCGGTCAAAGTTTCATTCTTAGTGGATTCTGGAGATCCCCGAGGAATCTGGCTTCGGAGGTAGTGAAGGGGCTCATCTGGTTCCCCTGACTCCTCCCCTCTCCCACCCCCAACTCCCTGTTCACCACTGCATGCAACTGACCTGCCCTGCAATGGTCTCATTGTTGATGAAGTCAGTGAAGTCCACAGTGGGTGTCCAAGGGTCATTCAAATTGTAGATGCTGGTGCTACTGGGCTCCTCTTCCTTCCTCTGGGTTACTGCCAACTGGTACCTATAGGAGTTTTTTATTAGAGCTACAAGGTCATCAACTGTGCCACTGCCTGAAGCTGCACCAAAGAGTGAACACAAGTGGGAAATGGGCCCCAAAGTCTTGGAGTCTTGAGCCTCTGGATCATTCTCTGTCCACTTCTCATTGCCTGTCTCTGTCTCTCTCTCTCTCTCTCCTCTGTAGAGTTTCCCCATTTATCCTCTCTCCTGTACCTTAAACATCAACTGGCCCAGAAGACTTCAGGCAGGAATGTTGCTCATCCATCCATCTGGATCAGAGCATGATGCTGAGCCTTGGCCTTGGAACCAGACATATGGACATGGCCTGTTTCCCATCTTAGGTCAAGCTCAGTACCTCAAATGCCTCGATTTTGGGGAATCCTCCCTCCAATCTGTGTCGCTAGCTCACTGTGTTTTTCCTCCAACCTTTCATGTGAACGTTTTTTTTTTTGAGACGGAGTTTCGCTCTTGTTACCCAGGCTGGAGTGCAATGGCGCGATCTCGGCTCACTGCAACCTCCGCCTCCTGGGCTCAGGCAATTCTCCTGCCTCAGCCTCCTGAGTAGCTGGGATTACAGGCACGCGCCACCACGCCCAGCTAATTTTTTGTATTTTTAGTAGAGACAGGGTTTCACCATGTTGACCAGGATGGTCTCTATCTCTCGACCTCGGTGATCCACCCGCCTCGGCCTCCCAAAGTGCTGGGATTACAGGCTTGAGCCACCATGCCCGGCTCATGTGAACGTTTTTGTTTGTTTGTTTGTTTTGGAGATGGACTTTCACTCTTGTCACCCAGGCTGGAGTGAAATGGCACGATCTCAGCTCACCACAACCTCCACCTTCTGGGTTCAAGCGATTCTTCTGCCTCAGCCCCCCAAGCAGCTGGGATTACAGACATGCATCACCACCCCCGGCTAATTTTTGTATTTTTAGTAGAGACCAGGTTTCTCCATGTTGGTCAGGCTGGTCTTGAACACCCAATCTCAGGTGACCTGCCTGCCACAGCCTCCCAGAGTGTTGGGATTACAGGTGTGACCCACCGAACTCGGCCCAGTGAATGTTTTAAACATACAGAAAAGTTGGAAGAATTCTATGGTGAACATAAACATACTCACAGTCTAGAGTCTACCACTAATATTTTCCTAGATTTCCTTCAATATCTCATATCTTGGCATTCCTCCACCCACCCATTAGGCTTTGTTTTGAGTGGCTACAGATTGTGGCCATAGGAATGTGTATGTGTGTTTGTGTGTACCTGTAGGAGGTAGAGCAGTGTGGAGCACTTCATCCAGTCTGCCTGCCCCACTCCCTCCTGACTGCCGACCACTCACCTCTCCCAGCTGAAGCCTCTCTCCATGGAGCTGTTCTGTGGCAGCGGCTCTCCAGAAAAGCTGTGCACCTGGATGCGGTAGCCCCGAGGGTGACCCCACTTGTTGCTGTGGTTGCTGGCCAGGTACAGGTAGCGAGGGGTGGCACCTCCCACAGGGAAGGCGGCCTGCTCCTCCGTCTCCAGCAGCTTCCGGGTCACCTGCAGCCTCTGCATCTGGTGCTCAGGGCTCCAGGGCACAGCCATGGGGACAAAGGCCATATCCTCGGCCCAGACCCAGTTCTCCAGTCCTGCTCGGGGTAGGATGGGGGAGGGCCTGTCATGCAACTGCCCTTGCTCCTCTGGACTCTGCCCCCACCTCGCTTGAAAGTGGGAGCCAAAGAGCAGCTTAGAACTCAGTGTGCCCTGCTTCTCTTCCCTCTCCCTGAGATAGCCCCAGTCCAGGGATTTGAAGGAGGTGTTTCTCTCTAGTGTCTTCTCATAATGATTCCAGATGCCTTCCACCAGCCTCCTGCCTCTGACGGGCTGCAAGGGAGGCTGTTTACCTGAGGTTAGAACAACCTCATGGGCAATGGGCCGGGTGGCATTCCCTCTAACCTGAAGCCTTCCCCTCACATCTGAAGCTCTGTGACATCGCCAGGACTGCCTTATCATGAAAATAAGTCTCACATTGACTGAGCCTGATGGAGCTGTGCAGGCAGCATGCAGAGTGCCTTCTGTGTGTTAATGCTTTCACTTCTACAACAATCTCATAAAGGAGGAACTATAATCGTCTTCATTTTACAGATAGGACAACTGAGGCTGAGAAAACTCAATAATGTACCTTGGTTGGTCAATAAGGAGACATGGTTAATACCATGGCAGTGCTGGAGAACTGGGTCTTAGTCTGGCCTTACACTGCCCACACATCAGCACATAGGGGAAGACCGACCGCATAGAGAGACCCCACAACACAGGAATAGCAGACGTGGGGACCAAGGAGAAAGAAAACCAACACTGGGCCTGATGCTGCTGGGGCTTGGAGGGAGCTTTTGCAGCTTCAAACTAGGCAGGGAGCTGGGAGCAGGGTTTAAGACACAATCTGTTCCCTGAACTTTTGGAGTCTGAATGATTTTGAGCCTAACTAGGTCCTATATTAGGAGTCAAGTTAAGTGATCTGAGACAAGGAACAATAAATCAAACCCTGCTGGTAGCTCCCTCTGCACCTTACAAGGACCAGGAGAGAGAAGAGACTGATTCAGCAAACACTTAGTTTCCTTTTGTAGGTTCATTGCCCGTAATCCATATCCCAGTGTTTCCACCCTTAGGTGAGAATTGCAGACTAACAGGTTTTTGTTGTTGTTGTTGTTTTTGAGATGAAGTTTCTCTCTTGTCACCCAGGCTACAGTACAGTGGCATGATCTTGGCTCACTGCAATTTCTGCCTCCTGAGTTCAAGTGATTCTCCTGCCTCAGCCTCCAGAGTAGCTACGATTACAGGTGTACATTACCATGCCCAGCTGATTTTTGTATTTTTAGTAGAGACAGGGTTTGCCATGTTGGCCAGGCTGGTCTTGAACTCCTAACCTCAGGTGATTCACCTGCCTCGGCCTCTCACAGTGCTGGGATTACAGATGTGAGCCACTGTACCCGGCCACAGACTAAGAGTTCTTTATGGTCCGTGCACACAAGTAGGCTCATGTGGCTAATCACAACAATAGCTATTATTTCTCAAGGGCTCACTATGTGTCAGGGACTGTTCCAAGTGCTTTAAAAGTTGTCATCATTTAGATACAGAGATAAAGATAGATGTGTGTGTATGGGTTGGTTAGATATATGCTTAAATTTTCTAGCTAAGTCCACTGAGAGGGCCTAAAAGCAATGACGTTCCAGCAATAATGAGCACACTTGATGCCCAGATCTTGGTTTCTAAATACCATTCACCAGTAAAATGAATCTGATCTCCTTGGAGACAGGTTAATTCTAGGGTAGGAGCAGGGAAAATGCCAGATGAAACTGAAACGTTTTTGGGTGCCAGAAAGCAAGGAAGTGCTCAAAAAAGTGTGGAGGCATGTGCAAAGGACAAAGGAACTAATCTGAAGGACCTCCCAATGGCCAAAGTTGGAAAAATGTAAGGAACAAAATAAATGATAGTACTGGGTTGTAACCCTTAGAGTATAGTAAAAAGCTATGAATCTATACAATTTGAATAAATAATTGAAAACACAAATAAGTGAAAAAGGAAGGACAACTCTTCCTTACAGAAAATCCCAATCAATAAATGTATAAGGAGTAAGGAAAAAAAAATTTAAGGATAAAGAAAATATTATATATATACATAATGAAATACTCTTCAGCCTTAAAAGAAGATCTCATTGCAACAACATGGATGAACCTAGGGGTTCAGTGAAATAAGTCAGACACAGAAGGACAATACTGTATGATCTCACTTATAGGTGAAATCTAAAAAATGTTGAACTCATAGCAGTAGAGAGTAGAATGGAGTTACCAGGGGCTTAAGGAGGGCGAGGTTGGGAAGATGTAGCTCAATGGATACAAAATTTCAGACGTTCAAGAGATCTTTTGGACTGGGCATGGTGGCTCATGCCTTTAATCCCAGCACTTTGGGAGGCTGAGGAGGGAGAATCACTTGAGCCCAGGAGTTCAAGACCAGCCTGGGCAATACAGCAAGATCCTCATCTCTATAAAAAAATTTTTTTTTTAAATTAGCCAAGCAACAGGGCACAGTGGCTCATGCCTATAATCTCAGCACTTTGGGAGGCTGACACAGGCAGATCATGAGGTCAGGAGTTTGAGACCAGCCTGGCCAAGACAGTGAAAACCCGTCTCTACTGAAGATATAAGAATTAGTTGGGTGTGGTGGCATGCGCCTGTAGTCCCAGCTACTTGGGAAGCTGGGGTGGAAGAATCACTTGAATCTGGGAGGCAGAGGTTGCAGTGAGCCAAGACCGCACCACTGCACGCCAGCCTGGGTGACAGAGACTTTGTCTCAAAAAAAAAAAAAAAAAAAAAATTAGCCAAGCATGATGGTATGTACCCACAGTCCCAGCTACTTAGGAGGCTGAAGTGGGAGGATTGCTTGAGGCCAGGAAGTTGAGGCTGCAGTGAACCATAATCACGCCACTGCACTCCAGCCTGCGTGACAGAGTAAGACCGTGTTTCAAACAACAACAAAAACCCCAAAGAGATCTATTGTACAGTATGGTAATTATAGTTAATAACAATGTATTATATTCTTGAAAATTGCTAAGAGTAGATTTTAAGTGCTGTCACCACCAAAAAATGATAAGGGCTGAGCATGGTGGTTCAAACCTATAATCCCAGCATTTTGGGAGATTGAGGTGGGAGGATCACATAAGCCTAGGAGTTGGAGGTTGAAATGAGCTATAATCACACTACTGCATTCCAGCCTGGGTGACAGAGTGAGACCCTGTCTCAAAAAAGAAAAAGAAATGAAAAAAAAAAAAAAAGAATGTAAACCACCTGGGAACAACAATGTTGTTTCTTTTGTTAACTTGCATAATGGGGTGCTTGGTGCAAGTGTGCATTCACACATTTTCGTTACTTGTTTGAATGATGTTGTTATGTGAGAAAACAGAAGTGGCAAAACATAGGTACATTATGATAACATTTGAGTAATAGAAATCTAAATACTTATATCAGTATATCATATTTGTACATAGTATACAATATAATAAATTCTATAAAAGTAGAGGTAGTATTTTTTTTGAGATAGAGTCTCACTTTGCCACCCAGGCTGGAGTGCAGTTGCACAATCTCGGCTCACTGCAATCTCTGCCTCCTGGGTTCAAGCAACTCTCCTGCCTCAGCCTCCCAAGTAGCTGGGATTATAGGCATGCCCCACCGTGTCCTGCTAATTTTTGTATTTTTAGTAGAGATGGGGTTTCACCAAGTTGGCCAGGCTGGTCTCAAACTACTGACCCGGCCTCCCAGAGTGCTGGGATTACAGGCATGAGCCACCATGGCCGGCCTCAAAGAGGTAATATTTTTAAAGTATTGAAGACTTTTTTTTTTTTGGCAACAAAGTCTGGCTCTGTCACACAGGATAGGGTGCAGTGGCATGATCTCAGCTCAGTGCAACCTGTGACTCCCAGGTTCAAGTGCTTCTCCTGCCTCAGCCTCCTGAGTAGCTAGGATTGTAAGTGTGCCCATGCTCAGCTAATTTTTGTATTTTTAGTAGAGACAGGATTTCTCCATGTTGGCCAGGCTGGTTTCGAACTTCTGACCTCAAGTGATCCACCCGCCTTGGCTTCCCAAAGTGCTGGGATTATAGGCATGAGCCACTGCACCCAGCCCAGTGAAAACTTTTAAAGCTAGGCATGGAGACTTCAGCTCATGCCTCTCACCCCCCCGCACCTTTGCCTCTGCCAGGATGCCTTACCTGCTACATCCAGATCCACCTTGAAGTGGGCACTGTGGGTGTGGACTGTGCCCAGGGTGTGCTGTGAAACTTTGTTCCCATACTTCCGGGCAGCACCAAAGGGAAATGCTGAGCTGATGTAGCCGGTGGCGTGGAGTCTGATTTCTATGGCCCCATTAGGGTGGAAGACTGTATCCCACACATAGTCATAGTTGAGCATGGTGGACACAGATCTGACGACCAGCACCGTTTCCGCAAGGCCCCCAAAGTAATGAGAGTAGAGATCTGAGTGGTGTCGCCGCAGGGGGAGGCCCTGGTTCTGCTCAAACACACAAAAGGCATCGCGTATTGTCTTGGGGGCCTGGGACTCCAAAAGGAAGTGCCAGTCCACGTAGGTGGCCAGGTAGGGGCAGTCCACCCCACGGGTCAGGGGCGTGGAAAAGTGGCCCAAGCCAAAGCCACTGTCTATGTACCGGCTTCGTACAGCAGAAGGAGAATTGCCTCCGTAGATGGCCAAGGCCTCCTGGACGCTGACTTCATAGGCCACCCTCTCCCCTTGGAAGCGGACATCAAAGATCCTTGGGCCACTGTATGCTCCGAGGCCAAAGGAGAAAGTCCACAGTGAGGAGGTCACTCGACTTCCCTGGACACTGAAGCGGGGACCCTGGGGATAGAACTGCAGAGGGGGAGCCGGACCCGGGGGCACAGGGGGCTTCAGGGACCAGGACCCACCTGTGCCATTGTCTGGGATCAGCACCACGTTCACCAGGCCGGCCTCAAACTGGGCCTCCAGCTGGGCCAGGCTGTCATAGTAGCGGCCTTGATAGAACACCTTCTGGATGCGCCAGCGGGCAGGGTCCAGGGCCTTGTGGTCCACCAGCAGCTCCAAGCCTACATGGTGGAGGAAGATCCCAGCCCCTGAGATGTTGTAGTAGAGGCCAAACCAGGTGGCCCGGTCCCCTGACTGTAGACCACGGGGAGCTGTGTTCATTGTCACCAGGTTCCGTCCCCGGGGCTTGTAGAAGCAACAGTGGTGCAGAAGCCCAGAAGCCTGGGGCAACTCTCTGTCGAAGATCATCTGGTCTATGTCCAGGTACTCTCGGAATAGCACGGGGCGGCGGTGATAGGGCAGGGGGCCTCCATGACGCTCCACGGTCACGTCCCGCATGTAGGAGGGGTGAGGCAGCGGCCCCACCACCAGCTCACTCACGTTGGGCTGGGGTTGTCCACCAAAGAGGACGATGGCCAGTGCCTCCCGGGCAGGTGGGGGGCTCCCCCTGTCCAGGTGGGCCAGGGCTGCCGCCTTGGGAGGCAGCTGCAGCTCCACTGAGAAGACACAGTTGTCCGAGGGCCGGGCCTGGGCTGCATCCACCAGCCCTGGCCCCAGCCGCTGGGTCAGAAAGCGCATCACAGCTGTCAGCTCCTCTGGGCTCAGGTCTGCAAACAGCTGGCTCTGGCCAGGGTGTGGCCAAGGCTGGGCACTAGGAGATATGGAGGGGCAGCGGGGAAGCTGGTTCAGCTGACATTCCCTCTCACCTCCTTTCTCACTCCCAGCCCGACCTTCACTCATGCCTGTCAGCAGAACACTAAATAGGGACAAAATAATGAAGACAGGCATAGCTAAAGCTCCTGGGTCGTCTTCAGGCTCTTGGTTGTGAAGACAAGAGTGCAAATAGACAGAACAATAAACAGACAGAGAGGACCTGGGTTGGGATGTTTCTCTCAGCCTCTGGAGGGTCCTGGTCTCTGTGTGGTGCTGCTGGTAAAGAGGAATAATGGATATTGTGAAAAACCCCAAGGGCAGAGGGGTCGGAGGTGGAGCTAGAGGGCACTAGGAATCAGGCCAGGTTCAGGAGGTGGGGCAGAATTAGAAACTTTGACTTTAAAAGGCCCATGTGAGCCTCTGTGCTCCTGTTCCAAATCAAACCACTCACTCTGGGTCAGGGTGAATGAACCAAGTGGGTGGAGAGGTGGGTTTGGAGATCAGAGCTGGGAAGGTGCAAGAGGAAGGCGAGGTGACCGTCCTCAGCTCTCCTTTCTCTTCCCTCCAGATGCAACTTTTCTCCTGGCTGCAAGACGGCAAGGGAGACTCACCTGGCCACCCCCCACAGCCAGATTCCCTCCTTCCCTCTTCTAGTTTTTATTTTGTTTTGCTTTTGAGACGGAGTACAGCTCTGTCGCCTAGGCTGGAGTGCAGTGGCACGATCTTGGCTCACAGCAACCTCCACCTCCCAGATTCAAGCGATTCTCCTGCCTCAGCCTCCCAAGTAGCTGGGATTACAGGCATGCGCCACCACGCCCAATTAATTTTTGTATTTTTAGTAGAGACGGGGTTTCACTGTATTGGCCAGGCTGGTCTCAAAAACCTGACCTTGTGATTTGCCCACTTCAGCTTCCCAAAGTGCTGGGATTACAGGTGTGAGCCATGGCTCCCAGCTTTTTTTTTTTTTTTTTTTTGAGATGGAGTCTCCCTCTTGTTGCCCAGGCTGGAGTGCAATGGGTCATTTCTTTCACAATGTCACCCCAGGTTCACACTTCCGACCTCAGAGGCATTAGTAAACGAATTAGATCACCTATGAATAACTACTACGGTTATGTTTCTAGTTACTTTCTTCTTCATTATTTATATGGAAATAGGCTGAGGCTTCTGGCTCCTGTCTCGCTACTTTTATGGGGTCTCCCCACTACATGAGCTGACCTTGAAGCTGATGCATTCACCTGGCAGAGAAGGGGAAGGGGATGTCCCAGCAAAGACACTGGAACCTGTAAAAGCTCAGCACAAGCGGGGAGCATCCAAGGATCAGCCTCTTTGGTGGGAGTTGGGGATGAGGATGGGAGTGGGCAGAGGAGGTAGGATCATCAAGTCTTGTGTGGCGCATGTTTTCAGCAAGGTTGTGGTTGCAGGAAGGCAGTGAGATAGGCACCTGGAAACCTGGAGAGTTTAACCAGATAAATCAACACCAGAAGGGTCAGGCTATCCAGAAATGTTTATGCCATTGGATGTATTTTGATAAGGAAACTTGCCTGGTTTTTCTGTCTCTTGTTTGCTCTTTCTCTTTCTTTTCTTTTCTCTTTCCTTTTTTCCTCTTTCTCTTTCTTTTTTTTTTTCAAGACAGTTTTACTCTGTTGCCCAGGCTGGAGTACAGTGGTACAATCTCGGCTCACTGCAACCTCCACCTCCCAGGTTCAAGCAATTCTCCTGCCTCAGCCTTCAGAGTAGCTGGGACTACAGGCACATGCCACCATACCCTAGGCTAATTTTTGTATTTTTAGTAGAGACGAGGTTTCACCATGTTGACCAGGCTGGTCTCCTGACCTTGTAATTACAGTCTCCAGCCTCGGCCTCCCAAAATGTTGAGATTACAGGCGTGAGCCACTGCGCCTAGCCTCTTTCTCTTATTCTTTAAAGCTGTAGAACTTTTCATCTCAAGGCTGTGAGAAAAGTAGGTTCCCCTTGTCCTCAGGATGAAATTTCAACATAACTCCCCTCTCCAGTCAGGCGAGCCCTCCTTGTCCTCAGGGAAACCAAGAACCACATTTTCTCTTGCTGAGCTGGTTTTCATGTTCTGTAAAAGCTCTTCATGAAAAAGCTATTTTAAAAAGACTTTTTTTTTGGAGACGTGGTCTTGCCCTGTCACCCAGGCTGGAGTGAATGGAGTGCAGTGATGTCATCACACAGCTCATGGCAATCTCCAATTCCTGGGCTTTTGTGCTGCAGCCTCCCTAAATGCTTGGATTACAGATGACAGCTCCCTGGATCAACGTGGGAAGCAGAAAGGTTTTTGAGAGGTACCCTACCGAGGGCAGGTCTTTGGGGAATTTTGTGAGATTCACAAGTAGGGAGTGAGTGTGTGTGAGAGAGAGAGAGAGAGAGTGAGTGTGTGTGTGTGTGTGTGTGTGTGTGTGTGTGTGTTGAGGGAAAGAGGCTAGAGCCCACTCTCCCACCCAAACAAGGCCTTAGGGAAGTGACAGCCTCAGAGAGGAACTCATGCCCAGGCCCCTCCTCTGTCTTCACCTTGGCAAGGGCAGTGCAAAGTGAGTTTAACAGTAGTGATCATTGTCCACTGAAGACTAGCAGAGAGTCCTGGAAAATCCCAGATTCCAGAGTCTGACCTAAACCTAAAGATGAGCACCCTCAACAAACATGCCTGGAGTTTAATTTCTTTTCTTCTTCTTCTTTTTTTTTTTTTTTGAGACGGAGTTTCGCTCTTGTTACCCAGGCTGGAGTGAAATGGCGCAATCTCGGTTCCGCCTCCTGGATTCAAGCAATTCTCCTGCCTCAGCCTCCTGAGTAGCTGGGATTACAGGCGCGTGACACCATACCCTGGATCAATGTGGGAAGCTAATTTTTTGTATTTTTAGTAGAGACGGGGTTTCACCATGTTGACCAGGATGTTCTCAATCTCTTGACCTCGTGATCCACCCGCCTCGGCCTCCCAAAGTGCTGGGATTACAGGCGTGAGCCACCATGCCCGGCCCTAATTTCTAAGGTCATAGAGCTGGCTATCTAATATAAAAAAAAAAAAATAAGGCCAGGCAAGGTGGCTCATGCCTGTAATCTCAGCACTTTGGGAGGTTGAGGCAGGTGGATCACTTGAGATCGGGAGTTCGAGACCAGCCTGGCCAGCATGGTGAAACCCCATCTCTACAAAAGATACAAAAATTAGATGGACGTGGTGGTGTACGTCTGTAATCCCAGCTACTTGGGAGGCTGACACACAAGAATCACTTGAACCTGGGAGGCAGAGGTTGCAGTGAGCCAAGATTGTGCCACTACACTCCAGCTTGTGTGACATAGCAAGACTCCATCTCAGGAAAAAAAGTAAGAAGAAGGAAGGAAAGAAGAAAGGAAGGAAGGAAAGAAGGGAGGGAGGGCGAGAGGGAGGAAGGGAAGGAGGGAGAGGGAGGGGAGAAAAGAAAAGGAAGGAAAGGGAAGGACAGGGAATGAAGGAAGAGAGAGAAAGAAGGAAAAGAAAGAAAGAAAGAAAGGTAACTGGGCATGGTGGCTCATGTCTGTAATCCCAGCACTTTGGGATGCTGAGGCAGGAGGATTGCTTGAGCCCAGAAGTTTGAGATCAGCCTGGGCAACATAGTGAGACCCACATCTCTACAAAAAAGTGAAAAAAAAATTAGCTGCTATTACACTTCAGCCTGGGGAACACAGCAACATACTATCTCAGAAAAATAAACAAAAAGAAAAGTAGGTCAGGTGCGGTGGCTCAGGCCTGTAATACCAGCACTTTGGGAGGGCGAAGTGGGCAGATTGTCTGAGCTCAGGAGTTCAAGACCAGCCTGACCAACATGGAGAAACCCCATGTCTACTAAAAATACAAAAGTAGCTGGGTGTGGTGGCAGGCGCCTCTAATCCCAGCTACTTGGGAGGCTGAGGCAGGAGACTCGCTTGAACCTGGGAAACGGAGGTTGCAGTGAGCCGAGATGGTGCCATTGCACTTCAGCCTGGGAGACAAGAGTGAAACTCCATCTCAAAAACAAAAGAGGTGAGGAAAGTGGCCACATCTCAGGTCCTCACAGGGGGTTGCCATGTCCACATTCCTGGAGAAGTCCCAGTCATGCCCTGTGACCCAAGCCTTAGGGATTTCCTTGTCGAGCTCCTTCATCTCAGGCCACTGGGTCCCAGGTCCTAAAGATCTGAGCCTTCGTGGCACCAGTTCCTTCAGAACCTGCCATCCTCAGCCAGTAATCACTCTTAGACAATTGACCACAAGTCTGAGGCCAAGACTCCAGACAAATTCTGTGGTCTGAGAGACTGAATTGGGGCATGTGGCTTGGGGGTTCAGCTTGCGGCCCTCCTGACCTGAGCTTAACTGATGCTCTAAGAATCTAGATGTCCATTCTGCCTCCCCTCATCTGGGGTCTGGAGCAGATGGCATCATCACCATGCTGAGATGTAAGGAGGCAGACACAACAGGTCACGTTTTCATTTAAAAGTGTGTGACAGTTGACACACAATTACACACACACCACATATACTCATGATCTTTGGTCTGAAGATGGGGTTCAAGGCAACTAAATTCAAGTGAACAAGATGCTGAGTGGGTGGGGGTGGATATCTGAATTTCTTTGCTCCCCCTCCCCCAGCACTGACAATGATGCAAGTAGACATTAGAAGGAGCTGTAAGGAGGTGGGGACAACAGTATATGCATTGAAAGGAGAAGTTCAGCCCAGGCATGGTGGCTCACACCTGTAATCCCAACACTTTGGGAGGCTGAGGCGGGCGGATTACCTAAGGTCAGGAGTTCAAGACCAACCTGGCCATCATAGTGAAACCCCATCTCTACTAAAAATACAAAATTAGCTGGGCATGGTGGTGCACGCCTGTAATCCCAGCTACTCAGGAGGTTAAGGCAGGAGAATTGCTTGAACCTGAGAGGCGGAGGTTGCAGAGAGCCGAGATTGCACCATTGCACTCCAGTCTGAGCAACAGAGCAAGACTCTGTCTCAGAAAAAAAAAAAAAAAAAAAAAAAAGATGTACAAACATGAGAAGGCAAAAGGAGTTACTAGAGGCCACACCTGCTTCTCTGGCTCTCAGGAACTTGAGAAAATTTCATCCCAGATCCCATTCCTTAACCCACTTTACCCTATCCCCAACCTGCTTCAAAAAAAAAAAATGTAATTAAAAAAAAGTCTTGGGAGGCTGAGGCCGGTGGATCATGAGGTCAAGAGATCGAGACCATCCTGGTCAACATGGTGAAACCCTGTCTCTACTAAAAATTTACAAATTAGCTGGGCATGATGGTGCACACCTGTAATCCCAGCTACTCAGAAGGCTGAGGCAGGAGAATTGCTTGAACCCAGGAGGCAGAGGTTGTGCTGAGCTGAGATTGTGCCATGACACTCCAGCCTGGGTAACAAGAGTGAAACTCCATCTCAAAAAAAAAAAAAAAGTCAATCCTGTTTGGGCCCATTTATTGTTTATTTTGAATAGATAATACAGTCACATGTTTCAAAATTCAAAATGTACAAAAGGGCGTAAGTGCTAAGAGCCTTCCGTCCCCTGCCCTCAACCTCCTGGTTCCCCTCCCAGAAGTAATCAGTGTTATCCATCTCTGCTGAATGAATAGACATACATAAGCAAACATGTATTTATACTCTCCTCCTTTCTAAAACACAAATGGGAAGT